ATATTTCCCGTTTATTACTTTCTAAATTGCACGCGAGTATCGCTCGAATCGGAGGAATTCCCATCAGATTGATTTTATCTTTCGCCCGTTGATTTTTCTTTTTTTACCTCTGCTTCTGTAAAATGAAGTATTCGATATGAATTACATTTTGTATTTAATTACATTTAGATGTTGTTCTATCGGACGAGTGACATTGCAAGTCGAGTCAATTTGATTATCACACAGGGGGGGGGGGGGTGGAAACTTTCTTATATTTCTGTGAAACACAATAATCAATGCCTGTGAATATCGTGCAAAGATTTTCTATCATGAATTTGATTTTTCTACGAGAGTGAAAATCCTTTCAAGTTCAGGTTTTTCACTTTGTTTCACTTTGGTCCAAGCAACACCGGGCGGAGGAATTAAATTCTTGACACAAGTAATTATTGCGATTCAGAGATAGAGATTGATAATACAGCAAAACTAAACTAAAAATTCCAAAATCGAATAATTTTTAACTCTAATAATTTTAACTCGTTACGATACACAGTGTCTACTATCAATCAGGAGTTTGAAATTCATTAGTACGAAACTTTGGCTCGTTGATCAGGGTTAAGTTGCGACAACGCGAGTGTGCATGAAAGAAATCAAGTGCACGCTCGTCAACCTTTAATTCTTCGAATTGCACGTCGAAACTATCCGCCTGGCGATCGTGCACCGAATGTGTTCGAAATTCGACCGCGAGAAATATCGTTTATCGGCGTTGGTAATGGGTTCAGTAACAGGTTCAATCGCGTTGGACATGATAAAGAGGCGTTTGCTTTCGCGAGTCGTGCTCGTTTAAACGCGGGGCGGATGATAAAGCGGAATCCGATTAAGCTTAATGGAGAGGAATTTAATCAAAAGACAGCGAACACGAAGAGGCGGGAGGGGGGGGGTACGAAGGGAAGGAGTCAGTACGGGCATTCACGATGAAGAATGAAAGTTTGCCAGGCAATTAGAGGCAATTTCCGGTCGGCGGGGGCTCGAATGATCCGCGCGGTGGAAACATCGGCGATTCTTGGTCGTTTTTCTCTCCCGACGCTCGTTCGAGAGAGACGAGACGAGACGAAAGCGAGCTGAAAGAACAAGACGAAGATAAAGGGAGGAGACCGTCTTTGCGACTTGCAATTCCGTTGCTGTCCGGACAGCGAGTGATACATTAAAAAATAAAAGAAGCAGCGAGCCCGATCGTTAGCCTAATGTTAACATCCGTAAAGTGCAACCGCGTGTAGCGCGAGACCCTCGTAAGCTTACTTCGTATCAAGTGTTTAATTACAACATTAAAGCGAAGCATTCACTTTTGGCCCGAATAAGGCTGATTTTGACCAAAGGAAGAAAGGTTTGACGTATCAATCAATTTTTTGATATTCAAGTTTCGTGAATTATGGAATATTATTTACATACACGTATAAAGTAAGAATGTTCCAGCGAGTACTTATTTACAAGCCTGATTCGAAAATCTGTAGGTTTTGAAAATCTATTTATACTCATACGTATGTACATCATACTCGTGGGAAATCGCATTTTGCATTATTTGAAAATAGCATAAAGAAAAATAGGAACATTCATTCACCTATCTAATATTCGGGGATTCTCTGTACTGAAAGATATATTGCCAGTAGTTTTTTCCCGTCAATTATCAGATCGAATAATTGCATGTTTAAAGTGCAAAATAAAAGAAGTGACAAAAGCGTTGCTTGCCATTATAAAGAGATGAGATTGTGTATTATCTCACACACATGCGTGTGTCAGACGTTTGAAAATCGCAGACGTAGAAAAGCAGAGAGCATGCTTTCGAAAATTTTCAACGTATAAAAAAACGCTAACGCCTGTAGAGAAGATTAGAATCTACCTGTGAGATTCTCGGTTCCATCGTCAGTTTTTAAGAGCCGTTCGAACGGAGGGTGTACTCGTGTTTCGCGCTAATTTATAATCTTGCTCGCACGGTATCGTCTTCTCGGCGAGAAGAGGAGGGCGAAACGCGAATAGATTACGAGAGAAGCTGAAAGAAATGGCGGAGAAAACGAGGGAAAGAAGGAGACTCGTTGGCGATCGGAAACGAGATGGAAAACAAAACCGAGAGAAAGAGAGAGAGAGAGAGAGAGAGAGAGACAGACTGGTATAATTATGCAATTTAGATTCAGCTTTACGATTCCGGTTTGGCTTTATTAAAAGCGAGAGTGGGCGTATGCTCCTCGCCCGTTCTCTCATCGAGAGTAGAGTAGAAAAAACTTGGCCACGGAGATAATGCATTTCTTGTTCAAACCGAGCGTTGCTCTTACGCCTGTGACGAGTTGATGAGAGTCGTCCTGGATATAAAAGCGATTTGCGACGCTCGCCATGAATGCGTATCGCTGACCATTTTTTTTTTTTTCTTCCGCTTTAATTGCGTTTTCATCTGCCGATCGATTAACCGATTCACTCCCGCAAATAGTCGAAGATCTTCTTTTTCTCTTCTCGAACGTCCTGCTATCGAAGAAGCTCGATCTTATCGCGAGACTGGCTATCGTTGTTTCAATGTATCGTAATTCCCGTGCGAAGTGGTTTACGCATCGAAAAGAAACAATACGAGTTCCCGTACTCGATAATCGTGAAGAATGCGATTTTATGTATATATTATGCGTAAGTATAACTTCATAAATATTAGGACACTTAGAGATATTTAAATCGATCTGAGAAAACATTAGTTGTCAAATCCTCCAAGAATTGTTATGTATAAATGTTAAACCTGTTTACATCGCACGTACATACATATAACGATAATTTCGATAATTTGATATAACGAAATGGATTATTTTTCTATCTGTATTTTAAAGCGATTAACACGTTTTTTTATGAAACTAGTACGTATCCTGATATTTATTTATTAACGAAAGGGAGAAAAACAACAATATTAAAGGATCGTTGAGTTGTTAAATAAAATTAAAACAGATCGACTTAATCTTTCGTGATATCACTATCATACGTCGGCGTGTTATTATAAATTAATATAAATGCAATACATACTTCAGTGACGGATCACTGAAATCGACCCGGAAAATCGGAGTATTGCGCAAAAACTGTGAACATGCTTTATAAGCTAGACGAGTGGAAGGCAGTCAACAAGATTATTGATAACTTTGAAAAGGAATAGTAATATCGGCAGCCTTTCTCCGATTTTCATTCGTGCACGAATTCATTTCACAGTTATGACACGCGAGTGCAAGAATTTATACTGAATTTTTTCGTTGAGCTGTCTAACACCAAACCGGGATTTTTAAATTACGAAGTAAAGGCCATATTTTTACAAAAATTTAATTCGAAGAAATTACAATGTATAAAATAATTTTTAGACAACAAGAGAAGAAATTATATTATTTCCATTTTATGTCATATAAAGTCAAGTGAACGCAGAATTTTTATGCAGTGCTAAACGTGGTACAGAACTAAGAAGAAATTGTAAAGTATCCTTTGAGTAAAAGGATTTCGAAACAGCGAAGCATATCTTATCTCGAGCTCAAAGTCGCCGGTGGAATGTTCGACTATGGGAGAACGAACGCACCGAATTCCTGAATGGGGCGTACACTGGAAAGAGGAATTTTTCGATATGATTAATGGTATAACGGTATAGTGCGTGGAGTTTACCGACTGCCGGATTCTTCCGAATCATACCGATCATATCGGTCGATGCTGGCTAATTGTACGCCTCCGTGAAGGATCACCCGGGCTCCGCCTCGAACCGTCGTCGATTAATTCGGATCGTGGAGAAAGAATTAGAGATCGGAATATCTCACAAGTAGGATTAGAATCTAGTCGTTGTTTTTCGAGTAGTATACAAATTTCATTTATTTAAACCAAGAGAAGATCAGTCAATCCCTATTATATGAAATCCAAATTATTTGTTTCTCGACAAGTTTTCTACTATACTTTCGAATATACGTGAACCTAAGCGAAATAGTTTTGAATGTTCTCACGAGTATTTCTGGAAATGAAAATATCGAATACATTCGAGTAAACTTCGATAATCATTTTCATTTTTACAATCGGTGGTTCGACTCGTACTTGTCACTTTTACAATTTAATTTCCTCTTGCTATCATAAGCCGTCGTTCTTCAATGAATATATGCTGCAATTTAATCTGATAATTAATCGAGTAAATCGAATTGCACATTTGGAACGAATTGCACACTTGCACAAAAGAATACACTCTGTGAGTGTTATATTAATTGACCGTAACATTCAATGTTAGACCATGAAAACGAATATCTTAGATATCAAACTCGACTCAGATTTATAAGCCCATATTGGATTCGATCGAATTCTTGAGAAGAATCTCGCTGGTTTTGCTGGTTGCCTTCCTCCTCGAAAACCAATCTGAGAACGACGATTAGAAAAGATCGGCTGTGAGGCTCAGCCGTTGTAAACCGAGATTAAATTGCATTGTCCGATCCGTTGCTGTGTGCCAGCGATAATTGCCACGGCGGCATAAGGTTACCAGCGAGGTCGCGGGTTAAGCACAGTGGGCAACCACGAACTCGCGCAACACATTACAATTTTCGTTTGCCAGCAGGGCCCCGACGAGACTCGATGCCTCGACTAGTTGCCATCGTCCGGCTCGATTAAACTTCGATTAAACTTGTTGGCTTTGTTGGAGCGATTCGTTGAAGGTGCGGATCAGGAGCGAGAACGTATCGGGTAGACGGAAATATAGTTGCACTTTGTAGAGCCACGTGGTTATTATCCACGAGCAGGGACGCGCTGCCTGGATGATTCGTCGGATTTATTGGATATCTGAATCAGTACAATTTCATCGATCACGCAGTTTTTCAACGCTGGCAACTTTTTCAGAGTTAACGCGTTCCAAACGTTCTGGAGCGTGAAAGAAGGTGTTTCCGCGTTCTAACATTGCTTCGAAGTTCCTTTCGACGATTTTTGTTCTTCACTCGGTCTTCAGCTCAGTTTTTGTCATTATCATTTTATAACAGATAAACATCCGCAACATGAAACAAATCGTGCCACCGAAAGGAAGGCTTCTTTTCACGAATGTTTGCCGCTGTTATATTTTTATCAACGATCTCTCCTGTCTGATTGCAGCTACCTGGTGCGTCTCCCGGAGCTATTTCGTCCGTGGTCGCTCCCGTGCTATTAAAGTATCGGGTCTGCAGACCCAGGCTGTTGCTCGCTGGCTCTAGAGCCGAGATCGATCCTGCCGCCGACGTTGCTCTGCTGCACGGGGAAGTTTTGTTGATCGAGGACTTTGCGAGACAGTACGATCCGATAGGAGGTGAGTTTCGATCGCTTCGATTCGATTTTATTTGCTAAGAGCGTATCCATTCGCTTTCGAACTTTTTTTTTTCGATTTTCTTTAATATATCACGCCAATGAAATAAAACATTGAGAATTCTTGTAAATACTGATTGATCATCTGTCCTTCAAGATTTAAGTCTTTGAAGCTGATACTTGCAAAAATTCTTATGAAAAGAAACCAGTTACTGGAACTTGCTTCTTATTTAAGGATAATATTTTCACCGAAACAATCCTCTACGACATTTTAACCAAAACTATGTTGTAAAACTGTAGATAATTTTTTGATGTAAATTGACGCGGAAATTGGCGAAGAAAGAGATCTAAAATAAATTTCCTTCTTATGTTTCTTAATGTAGAAGAGATGTTTCCCTTATTTTGGCCAACTCCAGGTCAAAAAGATGGAGATTTTCTGTGCATTTTTGTAGAATTTTATTTGAATTTTCTATAAATATATAAATACCATTCTTTCTTTGATGTTACAGATACAGACAGGAGATACAGAGCTACGGAGAAGCTTCTGCATGCCGAGGAGGAATATCTCGAAGCTTTGTGCAGCGCTAAGGAGTTGTACGCACGGCCGCTGGCGCGAAACTACCCCGAATTTCATGATGTTATCTTCCAACCGCTCGCAGATCTTTCGGTGGTCACTTCCGAACATTGCCAAAGGGTGAGTTTCTTAGCCGAAGATTTTTCTAATTATTATAATCAATAATTAGACTTAATTTCCATGTATTTTTGGTAAATTTACTGATGCAAAAGTCCATACAAACGCAATATGAAAAAAATATATAAAATATGCAAAGCAAAGCGTTTATTACAATATTTGATAGATGAAACAAACTTCTATCTAGGTTCCGTTTCTTTAATTATGTTTATGAAAATCTGCGGTCTATTAATTTGTTACAAACAAATTGACCAAGCTTAGTTTTGTAAATTATCATTTTAAACACTAGAGTTACCAAAGGATTTCAGATTTTTGAAATAAACCGGTATTTTGTCAAAATTAATATTCTATTTAAACAGAGACATGATTGTATAGATCTATTTATTTGAATTGCTCATTTAAATTATATATTAATAATTACTATTATATTAATATTAATTATTTATTTAAATTACTGTCATATAAATTATATATATATATAAGATTAGATTATTTCTCAAAACGATACGACACGATATAAAAAGAAACTACATAAACTATGAAATATTAAATCTATAAATAAAGAAATTATTATATTCAGAAAATTGAATTCTCGGTGAAGAGTCAACTCTTGCTTCGATAACAGATTTCGAAAATCTGTATCGACGAGGTATACGAGGTATTGGAGAACAGAGTTTCGTACAATTTTTCAACATGGTAGAGTTCTTCTTATCGACTGATTTGTGACTTATCGCAAGACTGACTAGGGATCACGGTTGAGAGATGGCGGCACTCGAATCGAGCAACGTTGTTCAAGTTTGCGCGGCACCTGTTACTTCCAGCACGTTATGCCTTTCTCTTAGAGTGTCGCAATTATGTTTGACTCTTCAGCCCGTATAACCTTTTGCGAAAGAGAATTCCAGATGATCGGGGACGATCTTTCAAACCAAACGCGTATCTCTTCCTTGAGTCATTCTTTGTTTAAAAGGAAAACTCCTCTCGAATATTTAGGCTCAATGTTAGCTTTGAATTTTTTATATTTCAATCCCGATTTTGTTTCAACGTATAAACAACTGTTGATATTCGTTAGTGTGTCATAAGCTTTTTCTTATTTCTCATTTTGATAAATATTTCATACAGTAGAGCCTTTTTTATTCGAATCCCTATATTTCTACATTCTGTTATCCGAATAAAGTATTTAGTAATGGATGTTTTTGCATTTATTATTATATGTTTTATCGTATATACAATTGCAAATAGGATTTATTAAACTATAAAGTACAAAATTTTACTAAGAAGGCAATATTGATGGAACGCAATGTAATTATTTGTTAAATGGCGAAGATGTAATTTTTGTCGTAAATCTGATTTTTCTACAAACTGAAATAATGAAAAACGCCGAACAGAGGGTTTCACCTGTGATAAAAAAAAAGTTTTATAAATTCACCGATAAAGAATTATACAACAGTCTTAAATATCGAAAGCAATTGGCAGTTTCAGATAACTCTGTTGCTCTTATTATTATCCGAAAGTTTCATTAGCCTAAGTTACATAGTTAGTTCGAATACGAGAGACTTACTTCAGCACCTGTCTACTTCGTTACTGCTAGTGTTAACCCTAGGTTTGTCTACAAACAGCATACGCTTCGATCGCGCGCTCGATATTGAATATCCCGACGTTCCCCTTAAAACTTCAACTCAACACCTCTCGTTAGAATTCAATATCCAGTTAGTTAGCTTCTCGAGCCACGAGTTTCTTCTCTGCAACAATGTAAACACCTAGCGCGACCAGCCGGAAGGCAGTACTCGCAGCTTATTCCGGCGTGCACAGAACAATCCCTGTTGGATCTTGGTTGGAGGAGAGCGTGCAGAGATGATGGTTAGTTAGGCGGGCAAGGTGTTTTCACTAAAAACACCATGGAAAATATGGTGGCCAGGCGGGGCTGGATACTGATAAGGCGATCATATCCCCGGGGCCCGCTGTGGACGCTGGCTACTCTGGATGCAATGGCGGACATGGTGTTTTCTTAAGGCTGACAATAAAGAGAAGATGGCTGTCCTTCGGATGTAAACACAAAGCCACGCCGGCGGAGCTGGTTAACGAGTTGGGATGAGCGATGACGGTGGTTAGCATCCTCATAAATATTGACTTTTACAAGACGCGAGCCAGTGGTGCGCGCGAGGATGCAACAGCGTCGAGTAAAGTGAAAAAAAGCCTTTCTTCACGCGCCGCGCTGGCGAAAGATCGTTCCGCGGGATTCGAGCGAAACCGACTCGAGCGGAGAGGAAACGCCTACTTTCTTTATTCCGCGCACTGAGACAGCGCTGTGATGGTCATCGATAACGAACTGACCGTGCAAAAACCATGCAAATGCAAGCACGCTCGATTCCCGGTGGATCTCGCGCCGAGACCGAGACACCGATCTTTCTTCTTCGAGCAAAATGATTATTACGATCGACGCCCGGATTAATTATGGTATATTGGCCGCTGTTGCAAGTTTCTTTGCTAGGTTGTTGAGAAAGATATTTTTGGAAACGCCTTTGGTTGGCAGATATCGTGGCAGTTACGCACTGGGTGTTTCAGGGTGAATGTCTATTTCGTATGAATAAATTTAACAGTGTGGCTCGTTATTCTGGATCGGAGAAGTTTGAGAATTAATAACAAACAGACATCAAACTAAAGGACCAAAGTAACGAATATTTCCGTGACGTCCAAGATAGATTAACATACATACTTTGATTGTAAACTTTAGTTTTAAAGATATATCGAACGACATTTGGCACCACGTATTGCATAAATGATGCTTCAACATAGTAGTAGAGACAGTTTCAAAATAGTAGTAGAACTCTGTTTCGATGGACAAGTAGTTTATATAATTGGAGTTCGTATAATAGGAAATTAACTTTCTTTTATTAGTAATTTCTCTTTCCTTATTATTATAGAAAATTAAGTTTAAATAGATAAACTGGATCAACAAGAATTCATTGAATTCAGTATTGATGAAAATTTGGTTGAAATAAATGGAGTTCATGTTCTACTAGTTTCATGAATTCATGCTTGCAAAAGAGTCACTAGTATAAAAAGAGATTTCTATTGTGCAAACTATTTATCCTACGACAAGTTCGAATAAACGAAAATTGTATTATATTACAAAATTTCGTCTACAACAGTCCAATATTTAAAAGTTTTGACAATCATCTGCTGATCATTTATATTAACTCTTAGACTCACAGTTTCTCTAAATTTTAATAATCACTTACTGATTATTCGTGGTTAACTCTCAAATGCACGTTTCAAATGAATATTTTTTCATTAAGCTGGTTAACCTGACTTTTCACAAGTGTTTCAATATTTATATAAACGAAGATGTGCGAAACTGACGGAGGATCACGCAAAATCACCGAGGGGACCGAAGATTAATTAGTGAAAACTGCTTCGAATGGCAGTTTCTGAAGAGCACGAACCCTGCAGTTCTGTTCCCTGTGCCCTTTTTATCCCTTTTTATCCGTTTTTATCTGGTCGGTTGTTCGCGCGATCTCCACTGGCACGGAGCAATTTCACTTTGGAAGCACCTTGGGACCAGGAGCGCGGGCAATTAGAAGCAATCGCGCACCTGGATGGCGAGGGAAACTCGTTTCATCTTTCTTCCTCTTCCTCGTTGGCCCTTTGCTCTTCTTCCTCTGTTTTTCTCTCTTCAGAGAGGACACGAACAATCCCGGCGAACAAGGAGCGACGTATTCTCGTTTCTACGTTTATTTGCTCGGAGGATTCTTCGAGCTGTGACGTCTTGTGGCTAGTGACGAGCGTTGCTCAGTTTCAACTTTGACGTTTCTCCACACTACGGAGATCTCTATCATCTCGATTTTCAACGAATAGAAATGCTAGTTTATCTTACGAACAAAACTGTCATAGACTCGAGGATAATTTATCAACACTAGCCATCAGGACTACGATATCAGATGAAAATTTCTTGAATTTTCGTTGTCTAAGTCTAATATTCAAAGTTCAATGAAATTGCAAAGAAAAGGAAAAAGAAAAAATCATACATTTCGAGGAATGTTGTGAATCCATTGCGGATTCAGTTGTGGAGAAAACTTCTCAACGTCGATACCACGAATTTATAATAATTCATTTAATTTAGAATATTCTTGAAAACAGAAGTACACTTCTCCCCCCCCCCCCTCGCTGAGCGATGTTAAAAATATTTTAAAATAAAGTGAACGACGCGTTTCGAAAGTTTCGAAACTTTGAGCCTTTTCCCTTATTAATTATATTAATTTTGTGTCTGAATATTAATGATGGACACTGGATATAAGTTGGAAATCTTTCGGATCCCGGTCACTACCTGTGATCCATCCCTCTTCCCTCCTGCTTCCGCGAGAAACCACCGAGAAAGATTCCTCGAAAAGTATCGCTAACGACGGATCCCTTGCTCGTATCGTTTCATCATCACCCAGGGCAATCGCGTCTCTCCTTCAGCGATTGAGCGTAGAGAATTTCGAGAAGGAGGACGGATGTAAAGTCTCGCGTGGTTTTCTCATCTTTTTGATCCGGTTTCTCTCTCTCTCTCTCTCTTTCTCAAGGGGGCGCACGTTCTACGCTACGACCGTAAATTATGTTTTTGCGGGAGAGCAACACGCCACGGTAACCGCGGTCATGACGGCGTGCTCGAAGAGTAGCTGCATCGTGATGCGCACGTGCACCTGCGCTCGTTGCCCCCGGTCACTGGGAATGCGACAACCAACGCCCTACTACCTTTTATCTCTAGCCCCTCGTAGAAATGGTCGTTCCTTGTCGCTTGTAGATCTCCTTGTTCGCGGATGAGCCATACGAGCGTACGTAATTACTCGTAATTACACACGAGTGTCGGATTTTCATCGGGATTACTCGCTGATCTTTAATTGGTATCGTTGACGAATAATAACGTGCAAGAATTTCTCGATTAAGTTGCTCAATTTTAAGATACGACGCGATGAGGGAAATTCAAAGTACAGGTTCAAATGGAATGCTGCAAAGTTGTGTTTGCATGAGAGAGTGAAATGAATACTGTTTTCAATAAATCTACGATAGATCTTCGATGTTACTACATGACTCGTTCGTGCTCTTGTTATGACGATCTCTTTAAAAATAGATCCCTAACCCTTTCTTTCGTTCTATTTAGTGGTATTAGCGGTAGGGATTGTGGATGAAGGATGAAATATCTTGCTTTATATACATGAATTTTATCCTCACTCTCGCAGCAATGAATAATTAAAAAAAAAAGAAGAAGAGAAAAGGCAAGTTTCGAATTAGCAGAATGACACGAAGACAAGTAACCAGCAAGAAAGTCGAGATTCGTTTAATTTGCCTCGCTCGTAAGGAGTAAAATATGAAATCCAACCGGAAAGATACTGCTCGAGCTTGAACTCGCCGGACACGCACGATAATAAATAGCAGACGATGCTCGTATTTGGTCATATCGTGCCGATCATCGTTATCCGTGTCCGTATTCGTCGCGGTAATATTCATGCAGCTGCAGGTCAACGGTTTTTTCATTGCGAGAATGTGAAAGCATCATCGGGAACCGGTGATTTCGCGAATATCACCTTTCTTGCGGCTTCGTTCTTCCCAAACCGGCGAGAGTCTTTTCTCCGAATTTTTTCA